AATTTTAGAATAAACGATTCTCCAATAAAGGTTTCGCACTTCATACATATTAATTGTACAACTTAAATTACTTAATGCTTGTATTAGAGTAACGGTTTTTTTTAATTGTCTCTTCACTGAGACAAGATTGAATATTGATCTAGCGTAACTTAAGACTAATAAGTAATTTAAGTCTAACCTAATTTACTAATAAGGATATTTTTATTCAAATTGTCCAATCAGTCTCTATTAAGGGGAAGACACTCTGTTCTTGTATGCAATTTTTTCACTAACTAGTTTAGTACTAACACTTAATTCACTATAGTTTTCAAATGTTTTTGTCCTTTTCAATCTTCTCAGTAAGTCCGTGGCGTCAAGAAGTTGAATAGACTCGAGTAACGGTAAATAATTGTATAAATTATTAACAAAATTTTTGGTACTAACTGTGCTCAAAATCATATACGTACGACGTACACATATTTTAATTATACGTACGCAAAAACGCGTAAGTGTAAGTACGCGAACGTCAACTCCATATTATAACCAAACACCATTAAAAAAAAAACCCCAAAAAAAAAAAAAATATTTTTTTTTTTTTTTTTTTTTTTTTTTAAAAATTATTATTTCTATATTTTTTTTTTTCCTTTTTTTTTTATTTTTTTTTTAATTTTTTTAAATTTTTAAATATCTTTAAAAAAAACACAATTTTTTGAAAATATTCTATAACCTAACATAGGGATAATATACGATTCCTAATGGTGAAATATTTCTGAGGATTTCCATGCAGATAAACAATCAAATCTTTCCTCTTGTTAATGTTATTATAATTATTTTGTATTATATGGTTTTAGAACAGCAGTTATATATGGTAAATATAAAATGCTAATGAATTTTATGACAGTTATAAATTCAATAACGCTGCATTTTAATTGCCAATAATGATTGAGTATAAGAAACTGCATAACAAAAAGAACTATTATTATGTAATAAATTATTGTAATTCCGTACAATTAATGACCCTTGAATGAAATGCTTTAAACGATGGAAAAATACTTTATATTATTTGGTTCAATAAGTACTGATAAAGTTTGAAGAAATAATATTTCCCTTATCAAAATAGACTAAAGTATAATTTAAGGTAATAACCATTTGAGAATCATGCTACCATCATGCTTTTCTAAAACATTTAATTGTACTGATAATGCGCTTTGCAGAAATCTACGTATAGTTAAAATCAAAACTCGACTTAGCTCCTTCAAGAAAAGAGCGTAAAAATCTTAAAAGGCCGGCAACGCACTTGCGAGCCTTCTGGCAATGTGAGCGTCCATGGGCGGCGGTATCACTTAACACCAGGTGAGCCTCCTACCCGTGTGCCTCCTATTAAATAAAAAAAATACTGCTGGTACTTTAAATAACGAAATCGGATACAGGATCCGATTTCGTGTTTTATAAATACTGAGAAAGTTACATTTTTTTATATCCGCTGAATGGCGAATACAAAAAAACAATACTGCTTGATAAACATCAGCATAGAGAAATAAAGCAGTAACAAGCAAAATCTAAGAGGAAATGATTATAAAATTGAAACAAAAAACTTATGTAGGTAAAATTATAAAAACGCTTTTTCATTTCCCTAACCTTTTCATATAAAATTCAGTGGCAGTGTATATTTTAAAACAATTAAGTAAACAAAATGTATTGTTAAAAGTATCAATTTAGCTGGTAATAATGCCTGGCGCCGGCTCGGCCGTGACTTGCAAACTCTTTGGTCAAGAGCCGACGATTCACACATCCAGAATCTTTTATCATAATCCTAACCTTGGATTACATTCATTTTATTTATCTTCAACCTCAAGTCACATAAAGAATATAATCTGTAGGTACTTATATGATCGATTACTCGAGAACTGTGGTAATAAATCTTTAGGTAATAATGATAGTAGAGTTTGTTTGGATTAACGCGCTAATCTATTTTAAAAGTAATTAAAACTGTTTCTGTTGAAGAGTCCTTTAAATAAATAAATTCTACTTCCGAAGGAGGGCAAAAAGGCGAACTATATTTTATAACACAAAACGAAATATTTTTGTTAAATTATTTCGTTGACATCGGACATAGACCAGCTCGTTCTCGCAAAAAAAAAGTTGTTAGCTTGTTGTTATTAGGCATAAAAATAGTAGAAAAAATATGCAAACTTTACACTAATTTTGATCTTAATTTTTTACTAATTAAAAAAGCACACAGACTCTCTACTTTCTATTTACATTACTTACATATTTATAAAAAGTTCAGATTGGTCGGACAAGATGACCGCACACAAAAGCTATACATCCTTCAATTAACTCCGATTTCACACCCTTTCACGAACCGAAAAATTGTAGACCAAACATTAGTTTAACCAAAATTATAGAAAATCAACAAAAACCCAGGCAAAAAACGGCAGAAAAACTTAGACTGGGCGGATGACAGCGGCGCCTTTGCCACAGTTTACTTCCTATAGTAACGCAGTGTTCGAATTTTACAGTAGGACATGAGAGACAGAAGTATCATAACTTTGATAATTTTATCATAACTATTAATTTTCTTAACTACCGTAGTTACACTTTCTTTAATAAGATTTTTTTGTGTGTTTTTCATGCAAGTACCGGACACGTAAGCACAACCAAATAATATCGTTACCATGGCAACAATCACGATACTCGGTCCTATAATTAAAGATGTTTTTTTTAAAGGTTGTACTTGTATTTCATTTAACTAACCTATAAAATAATAAAGTCCTAAACTTAGTAAGTTTTACGGAGTAATCTCCGAAACTGCTAATATAGAAAATTATTAACACATTTTTTATCATTGATATGGCCAAATATTGTATTCGGCTTACGCAACACACATTTAATTAAAACTTCTAAGATTAAAGCTCAAATTCATTCATTATTTACATAACTCGACATTGGTGAACGAGGAAAGTTAAAAATATAATAGATTCGCGTATATATCCGTTAAAAAGTGGCAAAAATTTCATATTTTATAATAATATTTGTATTTTTTTACAAGCAAAAAAAGTAAACAACAGCTTTTAAATGCCTATTAACATTATGTGTTCATGAACCGCTATTCCAGTCGGAAGAAAGGAAGTTTTCAAGAACACACCTCTTGATTTTAATCTAATTACAACTACACAGTAAGAGATTCAAGGTAATCCCACAAAAGCTGATAAAAAAATACTTAAAAAACAATATCGAGGTATTAATTTGTATACTTTTAAACATAGTGGAAGTCAGTTTTTAAGTCATTATAGTTTTTGTAGTAACGTTTAAATGTGCCGCGGTCGGTGGCAGTTAAAACCCTAATTATTACCGTTTGTTTTTTAAATCACCGCTCCTGGTATATTCATGTAAAAAATAGTATTATGTTTAATAAGGAATTAATTTAGTTTAGATTGTATATAGAACCTTCTTTAGGTTTCCATAGCAACCTTTTTAAAATAGGTTAGTCTATTTTTAAATAAATAGTAATTATTATTAAAATTATTGTCACAAACTAAATCAAACACAAATATCATTTTGCGACAATTTTATCTGTATTGCAATTAGTCATATTTGGCAGCTAACAATAATATTTATGTATCTATATATAGTTATATGTGTATACTGACGGAAGCCTTATATGGTAATAAAGTTATTATTATCCGTGTGAATTTAAGCGGATAATTATTACATTACTATTGATTAAATTCATTTTTTGATACACTTTACCGCGCGACTGCAACGCTGACTCAGCATTGATCTGCGCGACCCGGCGGTCTCACGAGAAGCGTATTAATATTGTAATCAAACACGTAGATACAAAGAACCAAGTATAAAACTCCGAGCTTTTCGATTATAAAGCTCTCAAAATCTTTAAAAGAACCTAGTTTTAAAACTTCATATTTTTAAATCGTTAAACCGTACATTTCATTTATTGAGATAAAGGCTGTTTTTAATATCTGATGCCAACCTTTTAGGTCTGGGCTTCAGAATTCTTCTATCTGTTCCGTGATCACTTTTAATAGGCGAGTAGGTGATCAACCTGTGCCTGACACACCATGCCAGGGTCTAAGGCATGCCGGTTTCCTCACGATGTTTTCCTTTAGAAAGTAAGTCTATTGGTATACAGCCGGGGGCGAAGCTACGACTAGGGATGATAGTGGCATGCTGAAGCCGCTAGGCCAACACTGCTCTGTTTTTATAATCGTTATTAATAATTTATACTGTCAGATGCCACTGAAGAATTATTCTAAGAAACAAGAACTCATTTCCTTTGAGTTCTAGGTTGAGAGTTGAGAACTTTTATTTTTTACACGGTTGCAATGCATTAGCTCGTCCTAGCTTAGCTTGTCCGAGGAGTTATTAGAAGATATTTTATATAGTACGTTTCCCTTACTACTTAGTTTTACAAGATTTTGCCAACATGTACGAAAATAAAACATATCCAAAAAATATTGTTTTATGAAGAGTAGACAAACGTTTTATAAATGATCATCACTTCTGTCACATTTTGTCTATTGTTTCCCTAAGATTCAGCGTCAAAAACGCGAAGTAGTCCATTTATTCTGAATTATTTAATGTGTAAACCACACTTTTCTATACGTAATTATGGTGTAGGAACTTCCATTTGCAACGATCAGGCAAAAATACAGAATCAAAATAAAATGCCAGTTTGACATTTCAATAATCTTTTCACCCTTTTCTAATATTATTGTTAATAATTAGGTTTGTACCCACTTAAAACATTATTACAATTATCATTTGTTTAAGTATTTTTTTTATAATAATCATTAGTAATCGCCAATTTTAAATAAACAATATAAATCTAGTATTAGCCTTTTTATTATTTAATTAAATTTTAAAACATTGCAACTCAACATTTCATTAATTCTTAGAATTATGATTGCACACCTTGTCTCTGGTTTAAATGTACGCCATATATGTTTTCGTTAAAAATTTATTCTGAACAAATAGAATATAGGTAATAAAATACATACCGTCTATTCTGATACCAGGTTTTGACCTGCGTATCCGTGAGTCCAAGTTTCGCTGCCAGTTCCATTCTGTCTTGCACGCTAAGGTACTTCTGTCTCTCGAAAGACTTCTCCAAAGTTTGTAATTGGTGATCTGTAAAGGCCGTCCGTGCTTTCCGTTGCTTCTTCGCCAACGCAGAGGCATCCCCACAACTTTTACTTGATACGTCATCTGAGTCGTCTTTTACACCTGAAAGGATACATTTATGAATGCACCATCGATAATAGAAATATAACTAGCTATAGCTATATAAGAGTTTATATTGTATACGCAATTTCGTTCACGACATGCGTCGAATATCTTATTTGTTTAAAACAATGTAGAGATTAACTGCTATGAAGATAAGTTCAGTACCTCTAAGCAGGAAAACTATTGAATAATACAATACAATGTATGAAGGTATTTATTCTGTATCCAGAAAAAGAGTGTTTACCTGCTCATTATAAAGTAACGGGTAGAAACGGGAGCGTTTTTATCCTATAGACAAGTACATTACATTAAATTAACTATACGATTGCGTACATAGTATGCTGAACACAGCATATAATTAACAAATTATTCTATGGATTGTAATTATGAAGTTGGAATACGTTCGATTTGCGATTTCCAAAGTAAAATAATAATATCCTATGACCTACGTTATTTCCCCTGAAGTTTCTCTTTGGAAATTTTCATTTTAAGAGAATATTGGAGTTTTATTTAAACCATTTGATCAGCAAAATGCTTCTATAGACATAAATATTTAAAGACATATACGATTACCACAGCCTCAGACTACAGCAAAGCATTGACAGCTACGCGCGCGTTTGTGACAACTCGTATGTATACCTACATATTTTGGCAGATGACTATTGTTTACGCTGACGTTGGCGTAGACACAGATTTAGAAATATTTTCTTCAAAATGGGTTCGGCTATAAGTTTAACGTTTTATTGAAAATTGCGTCTGCATTTAATATAAAGTAAACCAAACAAAACACGCGTAATTAATACCCCAGATAAGTACTTAGTAAATCGGAGTTGCGAGACAAGCTAAGGAAGTGCGCAGACCACAAGAAGCCTTACGCTAAACTTACTTAGGTTACAAAGCTTCGGCTTACACGTTTAACCATACTTAAGAAGTCTCATTTCTCTACCTTTGTTATGCGATTTGCGATTTAAACGGGTAACGTATGGTTAATGGCTACTTTGTTAGTGTAGACAGTCCTCCGCTAAGCCCTTGTATGAAAGCTTTGAAAAATTTAGCGCTATATTATTCATTTAAACTCACTATTCATTATTAAAACAAACCTTTAATAATGTAGCAAGCACATTGCATAAACAGTTTTTTAGTTTAGTTTTAAAAGCTGCGCGTGACTTGGCTATGTCCACTGTCATCGTTAAATTAACACCAATTTTCTAGCATTATTTATAACCACTTTGTTGGAACCCGACGTTTGGAAATAAGTTCTAGATATTTCTTAGTTAATTCGAATAATTAATTAGGACAAAACCGAATTGAACTTCGAACTTTAATGAGTATAATCTATGAGAATTCGTAGAATGTGCAATGTCCCAAATAGGTTTCAAGTTAAAGGCGTGTCTGATAAGGGTAATGACGTTTGTTCTCGTAGCCACATTATTGCCCACTAATGATAATAATTTTCACGGTCGAGCAACTCGGCAGTTGGAGCTTATTATAATAAATTAACGGCAGGACCCTAATGGCTCGTAATTACTGGGGGTCGTTGAAAAATCGCTAATAGACAAGGTGTTGTCAAGGCTGAATCAGACGAACATTAAACCTATTCCAACAACGTGAATATTTATATCTGTGGTATTTTTTCTTTGAAGTTCTCGCGAATATAGACGACCAAAGTACGTAGAAGCCAAACAAATTATTTATTTAGAAAATCAAAACTAATTTCTAAATCGAAACGCCAATTAGAAGGCATTGGGGTGTGTATTTGTGTGTGTCACTGACAGTTTATAAGTATCAAAAAATTTTATACAAATATGAATTCACATCATTCATAGCATCATAAAATACACATTTCGCTTTAATACATATTTCCGTGCTTAAAAACGATTCATTTCCAGTATGGAATGTCGTTTTTATTCAATAATTTCTGCTCATTTAAAAAGGTTACTCTAAATCAAGTCGTTAATATTCTATCCACGAGACAACTTAAAGTAATTAAGTAATTAGTCGGTGTAAATAAAATGTATAATACACGTTAATATGCAGTAGGTAGTGCCTGGGTGGCAAACCGCAACCTCTACACTTCGCTGCCCTAATACCCCACGCCTGTGCGCATAATCCTTTGTTGCTTTTACGATTTACGACAAGTGACATTCTTTTTTTAAATATTTTAAAGATTTATAACGTGTAGCTTGTAGATGTAAAAATTGTATTTGATGTTAAGAGTGTCGTGAGTTCGGAGCCCGGCTGTGCAACAACAGAATTTTCTTGTTATTCGTAATTAACGCTTAAAAGAACGAACGCAAATTAAGACGGCTGAAAATTACTTGCCTAAAGAAAATTTATCACTGGAATATGTCTATCATAAGCTCCTTTGTTGATAACGCAACTTCGTATCTTCGCGTAAAAATGCTGTCTTATGACACTACCATTATGTAACACTAATCTCTAATTGCAATTTTTTAAACTAAAATCGTTCTCATCTCTTCCAGATAGATCCTTATTATTTATTTTATCATTTGGAAGGGAAGGCTAAATTACCCTATAAGAAGCTTAGTGTGCTCAGGAAGGCGAGGCGGTACGCACTTCACTCCGGGCCACCGCTTTCAACTCTATAATGCGCAAAATCGGACCCACATGGAGGTACTGTTGTCACCAGCTCCTTCGCCTTGACCGTATTCAACGTAGAGCGATTCGAATTGTCGGCGACCCCTTGGCGTTGCGTAGAGATGTGGGATCTCTCTGCATATTCTACCGCATTTACCACTGAGAGTGTTCGAATGAGTTTCATCATCGGACAGAATATGAAAATCCACCCGTATCCACCTCCACGTCCGATGTTCTACAACCGTTTCTTAAGGCAGTTTTCGCCGCGCATCACCAATATATATATACTGAAGTATTTTCGAACCAATTCAACTTAGGTTCAAGGAAAGAGCGTACCGTACAGGCGAGCCTTCTGGCAATATGTTCATGTGCCGGTATCACTTAACATCAGATTACCCTTATGCTCGTTTGCCACAAAAACTTGAGCTTGAGCCTTTATTGCTGACACCCAGTACAATGTAATAACAATTATTTAAGTTGTATAAAAAAAACACTTAATTCTAATACCTACATAAATAAAACTTAATCTAATACGCCACTTGACCCGTTTTAGGTAGTCAGCGTGTCCTCTGACACATAGGCCTCTTCCAGCTGTTTCCATTCTTTTCTGATATTAGCTCTTCTTGTCCAAGTTGTGCCTCCTATTATCTCTATATCGTCTGCCCATCTCTTGCTCTGTCTTCCTCTTTTCCTTTTTCCATCGCGTGGTTGCCATTCTGTAATTATTTTTGCCCATTTCAACCTGCTATCTCTCGTCATGTGCCCAGTCCAGCGCCATTTCAATTGCCTTATTTTCTTTATAATCAGCGACCAAAGTCTTCTACTTTGGTCGCTGATCTGATCTCTTCTGCTCTTTTTCGATGTCTCAGTGTTACACCCACCATGCTTCTTTCCATTCCTCTTTGGCATGTTCTCAACTTTAGAAGATGTCGGGAGGCATAATCCGAATTAAATATAGTTTCTGAATCTGACCCTAACCAAAGATCTGTATAAAAACTATAATGCTTTGCAGATAAAATGTATAATTAATTTATAGTTCAAGCAAAGCCGGGACGGTAAAGCCACCGTACAAAGCTAACAATAATTAAATTAGCATTTATTACCGATTCAAGGGAAGGCTTAATATGTTTATAATCGAATACGACCTCATTTGTATGTCTGTCCGTCCCACGGATTTAATAGATAAGCTAAGCCATTAAGTGAATATTATCGCTTGATTGCTTTTAAGAATTTAATTGATCAATAAACACTTAAGTAATAGAATTAATCTGTGCTATTAGGGTCAGATTTGTTATAGGCCTTATTGAGGTGTTAACGTATTAAAAAATGGATCTTTTTCGTTATAATCTTCGGTAAGCCAGCACTGCTGGCCTGGCATGCCCCTGTAAACCCTCCAAGTTTAAGTCCCGTGCACCAATGGGTTTTTCTTTCTATATGCTCAATTTGAAGGTAAATATCCAGAGAAAGCCGCGTCTTAGACCCAAAATTCGATGACATGTGTCATGTACAGAAAATTAATCCTAATAAAACGTACGTACTTGTCAAAAATATGATGTCTTTCGAAGCATTTTAATAAATTATGGCTAACATTTTTAATGGCCAAATCATTTAAAAAAATCGGCCAAGTCTGCCGGAGGCAGTTGGTTACACATTATAGAAGAGAAAATTATGAAAGTATACAAACATATTGCGTTCTTTGTAGCTTCTATAATCACTGGTAGAATGTGATTGACAGAAACGTTAAATTGTTAATACCAATGACATAGAAATCGTGTAAGTGATCACACAGTCAATGTTACAGGGACTTCTGTGGGCTGAGGACTAGAAGTAGCGGATACTTCTACCGGAGCTAAATCAACTCTGCCCCGACTAAATCGCATTTTTTCTTACTAGATTTCCGGCATTGGGCTGTTCTTACTTGACAATACATGTCGTATTGTCGTACCTACTAGTAAAATTATCGATTGGGATTGTTATCATACAGAATTTGTAAATTAAGTAAAAAAACAAAAAAGCTCTCTTATTCAAATTTGAAAGTAATTAATTCATATTTATCCATAATTTCTTAATTGGTTTATGTGAGGTATGAACGACTTTCACGTTACCTTTTAGATCTAATTACAATAATTGTAATTAGTAGTCTGACCTTGGCATATTAATGCGCTTATGCTATGACCACACTGACGTATACAAAAATAATTAAAGTCATATTTTCCCTTCTGTCAAAAGCCAACATGAGCGGTTGGCACTTCTAAGTTAAAGCAGAAACATGAAAATATTTACTTAAATATTGAAATAGCTAATGCTGCTATATATTATTTCTTTTCTTTTTCATGAGTCGTTATTTTATTGTTCCTTTCACTGTCTACAAAGATTTAAATTGCTTAGTTTTGTTCTATTTG